AGGTGGAGATTCACCTGAGATAAACGTTTTTTTTTTTTTGCCTTCTAGTGACTCCTCACCCAAACCATGAAGAAAACCCCCATCTGTAGTGTCTCGCCTTGGAGGCACATGTGGTTTTGTTTGTTTTGGATCATCTAAGATATTTCTATGTTATGCTTTTGTCTGGAAGACACTCTATAGAAAACCTGTATAGAGACTTGATTTAAAGGTCTAAACCAACCAAAAACAGAAAGACATTTATCACTTCCACGAAACAGATAGATCACTTCTCTCATGGGTTCATTGTTTTAAATAAAAGTTCCACATTTTTATGCTGCTTCTTCCTGGTTTTTCATTGTGGCAGGCTGGTTGGCATCCTCAGCCTGTGGGCATTCAGTGTCATTGAGAAAAATAGCTTCAGGCGTGAACAGAAGCCAACTGCCAAATTGTCTGCACACAAAATCTCACAAAGCACCTAAATGTTTCTACTTTTTGTGACAAACCAGGCCTCATGCTCATTAAATACAGCAACGATGCTGCAAATATCGTATAGGTAAAGATCCTAAGACACCTAAAGGTCAAACACACACTTGCAGATCATCTAAAAAAATATATTGTTTTCACATCTCAATATCAAACACAGGTCTCCAGTTTAAGAGATCAAACCCACACCTTAATTTTCAGATTTGTAAACAGCGGAGAGCAAACTTGCTTAGTGGAGAAACTCCAGCAGTTTCACAGCAAACAAAGCAGCTTTCCTGACTCACATCTATGTGTTGGTATCCAGATTCAGCTCTGCTGAAGGTGAAATTTCCTTACCTGTCTGTTCAGCCGGAGCCTCCGACTGCTCCACCGGGTCTGAGCTCATCTTAATATCTGTAATGATAAATATAGCTGATTTTCCTACTGGATTGTAACTTAACAGGGACAATGAGGCACTCAGGCCACCCAGGAAAATGATCTTGAGTTTATTCTAATGTGCCCTCCCCTCCAAACTGCTGCACAAACCATAAGCATCCATAAGCTTGGTTCTCAAAGAGGGTCTTACCTTTGGTCAAAAGTTTTGGAGCCTCTTTCTATCTTCACTTTATTCAAGCAGATGAGGGTGTTGGGATAAAAACTTTTGGAAATCCACAGCTGCTCATTGGCATTTTCCTAAGTGGAGAAGCGTTCACCTCTGCAGTGCACCCTGCGCCGCCTGATAAGCTGATTTGCATATGCCTCTGTGCGTCCTATCCTCATTCAGACCGTTTGCATAAAACAACAATAGGGTTACTGCAAATATACAGCGTTCATTTCTGTGTGTGTGTGTGTGTGTTCGTACAAAAAGGGCTGAGTGGAGTAATCCTCGGGGTGCTTTGGATAACAAGGTGATGTTTGTATTATTCCTGCCAACTGAGATAGCTCAGTGATGGTGAGGAGCAGCTCATCTCTATAAACTTGTCAATGCTGATTTCCATACAACCCTTTTTCTAAAGAAAAAGGTTGGAAACTGCTCGCTTTGAAAACCTGGGAATGGGAACTGAACAAAATGGATTAGTTTAAGCCTTCTTTAATTGTTAGAAAAGAAGTGTGATTTTAATATCCTGCAAAAAGACCCTTTTTTCAAACAAAAACTGCTTCTTTTTTTTAAACTAGATATCATATTAACCTTTGCTATAGGAGCCTTGATAGTGTTTAGATAAAAGACACTAAAATCAGAACAGATTTTATTTTCTGCAAGCTCAAAAATAAACCAAGCATGCAGTATTTCAACTGTCAGATTTTTTTTTTTTTTAAGAAAAGTTCAGGCAAGACATTGTAGATCTAAAACTTTCAGGTTCTGATGTTCACAACTTAAATGCAGACAGATTTTAAGAAGCAGCATGGTGAGTTTGAGAGTTAAATGAAATAATGTTAGCAGGAAAATAAGGAAACAGGCATGGAGACATAGAAATTAGGATGAAGGGGGTCAAGTGATGAGGTCAGGCTATTTAAAACACAGGTGAATGGAATACCTGAGGGTTCTGACTGAGAAACGGTAATCGAGGAAAAACCCTAAGAGGAAACTATGAGAAGCTACCTAATAAAAAGAGGGAAAACACTAGAAATATGCAAGAGAAAACACCTGACAAAAAGTAGGCAAACGGAAACTGTATGGCAAACCCCAAATGGCAAAATTTTATCAGAAACTTATGTGGTAAGACATAATGAACCATAATCAAACCAGCAGATCCTGACAAAAACTCAAAATGTGTTTTACAAAGTTGCCTTATCAAAACTAAGGCAGCCACTCTTTATGTGATCAACTATTTTTGTAAATATGACGTCTAGTATAAGCTATTTCAATCCATTGAAGCAGATCTATGTGCAGTTAACTCTTTTTGAATAAAAACCTCTATAGATTTGGTCTTATCAATATCTTCACTCTGCTGATTTTGAAAGAAGATATGAATGTGTTGGTAATATTTTTTGCTCTTATTAAAAATAAACAGTCTCATTCTGCACTTACCACCTGGGGGCCATATAAAATCAGCCCAAGGGCCACTAATGGAAGTGGTTTCGACACCCTTGACTGAGAAGAAAAACTAATACAGCTGTCCTCTGCTTAGCTTTTGTTACTGTTTTACATCATTGGTCTCAATAAAATGTGTCTCCAACAGTGTACCTTTCCATTTATTCCATCGATATTTTGGCAAAAGCACTCCTTGATTCACTGTTGAAGATGATTTAACACTTTAACTGAATCGTTGAAGTTAAAGCAGCTGAATTTTATATCTTCTTATGGCTGCATTTTAAAAAGACACACACCCCTAGTAAAACACTTTGTTACTGTGTTGTGGGGAAAAAATGAGAACACCATGGATTATTTCAAAACTTTTCCACCTTTTCCTTTTAAAAAGAACTAAACAATATTCAAATATAAACAAAGTGGAAAATATAAAAAATTATATATATAAAAAAAAAAGCCTAAGTGTGCCTAGTATGTTCTTTTGATTCACCTACAGGGTATCTAAACAACAGCAGCTCTCAGGATTTAGTGTAATTCCTCACATGTCCTTGTTTTGATCCTGGAGCTAAATGCCTGCTTTGCAAAGAGCTTACAGAGAGATCAAACTGTTCAAAGGTATCAGACAAGTGAAAGTTTATCTGCTGCTTTATTCATGTTTTCCTGTCTTACTTTATAAAACTGAAATCTAACAATGTTTTAGTAAAAATGCTGCAAAAGCCCCCGACTTCCATCTAATTTTGCAGATCTTGATGGTATATCTAACTTACTTACGATGGATGAAGAGGTGTCTAAGGGGCTACTAAAGGATTTTTAGAGGTGAGTGGTCAGGAAGGGGCCAATGTGCACAGAGGGGTGGCTGAAAATATGGCACCAAAAATATCTTAGGGTCAATCTATACTGATCAAAATCAGTCAACAAGAAAATGAACTTGCACAATCTATATTTTACAAATAAATAATTAAAGACAGAGCATATTTTCATTAGGGTCCTTGCAGATAAAGCTATGTGCATATTTATACATTAGTGTTGTTTAAATTAATTTATGCTTCCACAAAATATATACATTAAATGGGTTGAGCGATGTTCTTTATTTTTTAGAAAAGACTGCTATGTGTCTACAGCACATTTGCAGTAAATTATTGTAAATAATTTTTTCCACATTTTTATATTCAGTTTTTGGTAGATATAGCAGCGTTAAAATGTCAAAGTAGGAGATTCCACATGATGGTATCACTGCTGCCACCATCAGACTTAGTGGAGAACTGCTTGTTCCAGGGTATGGAGTTAAATCCAAGGTGGCCACAGGGGTAGCCAATTATTGGTTAGGGGTGACCATGCCCCCCCCCGGATACCCCTCTAGATCCGCCCCTGATTATAGGGAATATTGAGTAGCAGAGATTCAGGTTTTATTTCAAGAACACGACTTTATCACAGCAGTCTGAATAGAACCTTCACCATCAAGAACAAATATCCATTGGTGCCTGTATCGATGTCAAGAAAAAAAAATTGTCCACAGAGGCCTATTAAGATGAAGAAAATGTTTCTTTAATTTTAAAATATGACATAAAAGTGTGCAAACATTACTAAGACAGCTCTGCTACAGAAAATCAGAGAAGGGAGTGTTTTTATTGATCATTGCCCGACTAGAAGAGATAAACAGAAAAACAGAGAACATATGTAGGTATGGAGGATTTTATAAAAGTTTGCTACAAAACCTTCAACATGAGAAATGTAATAAATCAGACTACAATTGTTGAATCTCAATAATTCCTAGTTCAAGCATTTGACGCTTATAGTTTTCTTCTTACTTTTGCTTTGTTGTCAAAAATTAAATGATGACCGTCTCTAAACGCAAAAAAAGGTATAATTGGGTAGGTGACATAAAAATTAGAAATCAACAAATGCCACAAGTGCAACTGGAATGAAAGGGTGCATGTTTAAAACATGTCAAGTTGTTTAAAATTTGCAGTTTTATAAAAGAGAGCTTTATTTAACTTGAATGTATGTACTGTTCTATTTCTAAAACTGTTTGCACTTTTCATATATATGTCCAAGATGCTCATCTAAACCATCAATTATTCTAATTTGCAAAAAAAAAATAAAAATAATAATAATAATGTATGCTACTATGGTCATTTAAATAACTGAACACAATTTTTATTTTCCTTATGTGGTAACTTTGGCCTTAATATACTATTGCTTCATTTTATTTAACTTTTTATATTTTTACCTTTGTGTGAATCTGCATACCTCTATTTTATTTGTCACTTAGTTGTCAATACAACTGAATTTCCCAACTAATCTAATTTGCTTCTCTTCCAAATGTTGTTATTCTTTACATTTTCAATTGAATCTGACAAACAAGTCTCATCGTAAAGAACAGTATGTTTTTTGAATTGCCTTTTAACTGTTTAAATTTGCTTTTCTAATGATTTCTTACAAAAAAATATTGTAGTGAAACACACTAGTCAACAGGGGGCGCTAATAAGTCACAGAGGAAGGGTGACAGTGGCGTTAATCCACAGAAGAAGGTGATCGCTAAGGGACAGTTCAAACCGCTACATCTCCAGTTTGGCCCAGAAAGTGGGATTTTTTTCAACAGTAAACCCAAACGCTGCGTCTTTATTAACTTATCCTGTTGCTTTCAGACGCGATCCTTTCGGTTGACAATGATTTACTGATGGAGACGATGTGATATGATGCATCTGTTGGTGGCGGTTTGTTGATCAGGTGAAGCAAACGGAGCCGAGGAGGAGTCTCCGAAGAGGTGAGGCAGCCCCTCCTGCTAAAGGCTGCTACATGATGGCTTCACTGCTCCGAGGGAGGAAATAATATCTCCTGTTTTTTCTTTAGAGGGTCGGGATTAAATAGTCCGGTTTCTGTTGAGTTTTATTTGCAGCATTGTTTTCCGACATGCTGGGCCCCTTTATGCTAAAAGCAGCAGCAGCAGCAAATGTCGTTTATAATAACTGCAGTGGTGAGGAAAAGCTATAGATGTGTGTATATATATGTCAGATTTGACATTATTATTTAACTTTTTTTATTTTCATTATCTTTATCATGATACACGATCATAGTATAAATAAAACCTGAGCCGTTCTCTGTGATTATTTACTCTACTAATGCAAATATTATCATATGACCTACTAACATAGCAGGGTTAAAATAACCTATTTGACGGTTAGAGCTTAAATGATCAAAGCCAGATGCGTTGTTAAGACGTTTGTAAATTGGAGGCTTAGCCCTGGCCAGAAATACATGGTAGGAAACAAAAAAAATAAATCTGATATTCACAATTCCAGGAGGATGTCTCAAGGAACCACAGAATATGTATTTTAAAAACAAGTTTCAGAGACAATTATATAAAAAAACACACACATATGTGCTGAATGGTTTGTTAATATTAAACTGCTCTATATATTTCAGGTTTAAAGAGGTATAAAGAGCAGTTCCTAGTAAGTAGAAGTAGACCTACACCTTTAAGTAGCTTCTACATAAAGGTGTAATGGAGGGTTTTCACAGATTTCTTAAGACCCACCCTCTCCACTTAAAAAAAAAATACACATGCACAACCCTGGACTCACTCCCGATAGGGAAAGTGTGCAAGAGCCCATTTCTCCTCGTGCACACCCTGTTTAAAAGTTGCTGTTCTCATAGCTCATACAAGCTGATAGTACCTGAAAGTCCATCATAACCCCTAAATCTCTCAATCACTATATAGAGCGGGAACTATATAGTGAACTCTATGGTGAACTCAGTTAACTGACCGTTTGGAGAGATGATCACTCCTTTTTGCTCCCCGTTGGTAACCCGTCCACTGCGCGGTGCCATATTTGTTATTAGTCGGGTCGCTGTGACAGCAAAGCCCATAATGCTTGGCGAGGGGAGAGCTCTCTGCGCAAAGTATTCCTGGATATATTTTTTTCATTTTCAAAGAACCGCTGTGAGAAAGGTGACCTTCAATGACTGTCTGAAACCATAGCTCACCACAGATATACACCTGAAAGTTCGCATGCGCAGAAAAAAGATAGCTAACGGGACGAGCACGTCGAACGGCCTTACGTAAACATATCACCAGAATGATTGACAATAAGGAGGACCATTTATTGATATGATCCACCCGGAAAAAGAAAATCCTCTACTATACCTTTAAGTCCTATGCAGCCAAACAAGCCCACATCATCACATGTCCATTACTGTGCTTGAAAGTTGCTATGAGGTGTTTGTGCTAATGCTTATGGAGCTGCGCTTTATTGCAAACCTTCAGTATTTTGAACTTATCTTCCTAAAAGACTGTTTGAAAACCAAGATAATTCTACTTCTTCGTTTAAAAAAAAGTTTTCTTCTTCAACCTTCCTAAAAAAGTCCTTTTTGTTCATCCTTTATCAGTTTGCCTTTTGATGGACCCAATCTGAGCCTTGTAGAGATTTCAGCCTTTTCTCGAGCGTTTTACGGTCGGTGTTAATTAGCTGTGATGTAAACTCCTGGGAAGAGGAGCAGTTTTCCCCTTGTGAAAGGTCTTTCTAATCCATACAGTACCTCCTAAAAAACACATTTATTGTTGTGAATGTCATCCAATTCAGGGGTTGTTTTAACCTACTTCTATATAGCAGATCAAAAAAATGATCCAAACTTCTACTTTTGTCATGATGGTCAAACATTAAATCATGTAACAACAGCAGGGATGTGCTTCTTGTTTCGGACAGTACTATTAACTGAAATGTTTTGACTTGTTTTGCCTCTGTTAGTTAAATATTGTATGTTTTTTCTCCACATGAAGTCCTTAAAGCCATCAAATCACAGCTGAGTCACATTTGCTTGTACTTAGAACTAAAGGAATGTGTTTTTTTTATTGCAGAAGTCCTGTTTTAAACCTAATTAAGCCCAACAATCTCAAACTGGCTGAAATGGACGAGCAAAGTGTAGAGGTGTGTATTTATATGCCCTTTCTGTATCGTCCAAACTGTACAGTCAATTGATTTGTTTTCATTTCTATTTCAATGACATTTAAATACGTGTCCAAGAAGTTGGCCCTGCTGCTGCAGTTGGTGTTGGATTCATCCTCTGTCTCTTTGCAGAGCATCGCCGAGGTGTTTCGTTGCTTCATCTGCATGGAGAAACTGAGGGATGCTCGCCTGTGCCCGCACTGCTCCAAACTCTGCTGCTTCAGCTGCATACGGGTGAGTGTGGCTCCAAGGGGCAGGAACTGGGCTGTTTTTCCTGCAAAGCTCCCTGCTTGAATCTGCTGTGAGCAAAACAAGTTATGTAACTGTTAATTGGGAACAACAATGTTTGTTATAGACAAGATAATAAAACAGAATAGTCTGTACAAAAAGCAGTTATGAAAAAGGTGATCCATGATTTTCAATTTAAGCTGGGTCTCTTGTTTGACAGCGATGGCTGACGGAGCAGAGAGCACAGTGTCCACACTGTCGGTAAGAATGTTTCACCCTAATATCTACTCATAGATTCTCACTTTCAGATTTTTCTTTTTATTTAAGTCCTTTATCTCCACCTTAAGATAACAGTGCAATATTTTTATAAAAATAATTTTGTAAGAAAAAAAAACAAGCCCCAACCCCAGGAAAGAGAGCTATAGGAACCAAAACTATTGAATGTTGCAGTGGTAAACATTCATTAAATGATTCCTTTAACAGCGTTTGCATATGTTATATTATATTTGACACAATTGAACATTTTTATATTTAAGGAAGTCCAGATGTTTATTCTGCCAGGATCCAAACAGTGTGTAGAAAATATATCTGGCAGAAATTCCTTAAAGGACACCAAAAATAGTTTTATTTAGTGAATAATGAGAAGAAAATGTGTAAGAATAAGCAGAATAACGGGGGGGAAGCCATCTTATTTATAAAGATGCACTTGGAAAAATCCAGCAAACGTTTTTTTGTACTGTGAGTATTCCAGCTGTATTTGGCTGAAAAAACTGTCATCTTACATTTAAACTCTTTTATGCTGGAACCAGCTTCAGGGTTTAATTTACATGAGCTTAATGTAACATTTCTTCACATGCCTCAGTTGTGGATTATGTTTTAAGATCTAATCGGATGTGCTTTTTGTTGTGCCACAGCGCTCCGCTGCAGCTGAGGGAGCTGGTGAACTGTCGCTGGGCCGAGGAGGTCACTCAGCAGCTGGACACCCTGCAGCTCTGCAGCCTCACCAAACACGAGGACAATGACAAAGACAAGTGAGCGCCTCATAAAACCCGTTCACTTCTTTTGTTCAGCTCTTAACATTTGCCCCATTTACACTAGCCCTATGAAATCGATCCGTGGCGAGTTCAGACCGAGCTTGGATCAGTTAACCGTGCTGAGCTTGGTTCTTACCACCAGTCACGCTAGCATGCTTCCTCGCCTACTATCGGTGGTCCATGATACTGCAACTCTCAAGGCGGGAATTGTGTAAAAAAAATAGTGGCGTCCATAACATTCAGGAACTTATGTGTCTGGATAGCCTCTCATCCCATTTACACTACCCTTGAAAAACCATGCCGAGACCGGTCCGAGCTCAGTAACTGAGATAACTTATCGTGTGTAAATGGAAAGCAAACTGAACTGAACCGAGCTAGACACAACCGGACCGCACTAACTGCAGACCAGTTCCAGAGGTGGGCTCGGCTCGGTTTTTCCCTGGCTCGGTTCTCTGATAACAAGAGCGCCAGAGCAGAACGCGTCATCTCCGTCTGGCTGCACATCCCGATTCACACTCCATTCCACTACTTGGCGGTAATGCCCCTCCAGAAGTTGCTTGCCATTTTGATTTGCTTGATTCCCTCCATCTTCTTCTTCTTGTGTTTTATGGTGGTTGGCAAACAACTTTTGGTGCATTACTGCCACCAACTACTTGATTTCCTCCTTTGATACTGGCAGTAATACCGCAGATCATCACTAGGAGGCGAGGAGTCGAGGAACCGAGATGGCGTGATGTGTAAACGGTCGTCAAAACCAAGCTTGGCCTGGTTAACTGGACTGGTCTCGGCATGGATGAAGAAATCTGGGAACTGCAAAGCTGGTCACGCTGGAAAACCCGCAAAATGAGTCAGCTGTTTGTAAATAGGAGATCATGTGGTCTGCTCATGCGCTCTTTGTTATCAGAGAAATGAGCCACAGATGAACCACGCTGAGCCCTACTGTTGAACTAGTACTAGATTTGGTGCGGTTCAGTTGTTTCTGCCACAGTTCAGTTCAGTTGCATTCCATTTACAATCATCGGTTATCTCGGTTACCTGTTCTCGGCACGGTTTCACAAGGGTAGTGTAAATGGTGCTAATAAATGAAGAAGCATCCCTGGTTCCACAGATATGCTCTGAAAGACCTTTAAGGAGTAGTTTTAAGAACTTAAAAAGCAGACATGATCATTTGAAGCACCTTGTTTAGAAAGTAGGGCCCAGTGTTCAAGATTGAGCTCATTTAAATTGAATCCAAAATAAGTTATTTACATTTTCAGAAGAGTTTTTGAAAACAAGACTAAACTCTAATGTAGGACTGTTGTTCTAAATTGCATTATAAAGAAAGAAAAAACATGGTCACCCTCTGATGTCTGCTCCTTCTGTTATTTCTGAGCAGATGTGAAAACCACCATGAGAAGCTGAGTGTTTTCTGTTGGACTTGTAAGAAATGCATCTGCCACCAGTGCGCCCTCTGGGGAGGAATGGTAACATTTACAGCTTTTTAAAATAAAAATTATACTTTGCAGTAAGTTAAGTGATTAGTAGGTGGTTGTTTCTATGTTGGGGTTTCTTCTGACTTCGATTTAGTCCGACACCAAAAAAACCAGAAGCAACAGTCAGCATTTCATAATTTTTCCAGTCACAGTTTGAGATGAGCTGCACATTTACATCCAAGTAGCTGCAGGCTCTGAGTGATGGATGTTTTGTTGCCTGCAGCACGGCGGCCACACCTTTAAGCCTTTGGTGGAGATATACGAGCAGCATGTGACCAAGGTGAAGGAGGAGGTGGGAAAGCTGCGGCGCCGCCTCATGGAGCTCATCAGTTTGGTGCAGGAAGTGGTGAGGAATCCTTACTAAGTGATACGAGGCTGAAATTATGGTATCACTTTGCATTCATAATGCATCTTTCAACATTATGCTTCCACATTTAGATTGTGTGGAAACTGATCTGAATAAAAAATTGAATTGTTTTAAAAATTGGCTGGAGGATATAAAAAAAAAAAAAAAAAAGCCAAAAGATTCTGCTGGCTTGACTGAAGTCAAGCACTTCTTATATTTAAATTACAGTAACACATCACTTTTTTCCTTCATTTAAAGTCTACATTTCTAATAAAGAGGTTCCCTTTAACAAATTCATAGAAAAAGTAATGTTTCTGTTTATTAAAGTTTTTGGATTATGGCTTGACATTTAACCTATGAAAGTTTGATTTCTCTAAAAACAAAAAAACAGGTGAATCAACCAAAATAAACCCCAAAAAATCCTCATGGATTTGATGTAAAATTGAACCACCATTGTAAGTAAGGCAGCAGACTGTATTATAAGGCATATTTTATATACTGTTGTGCTGCATTCACACCAAATTCATTTTGGGCGTCAAAAAAAAAAAAAAGCACATGCACAACCAGGCTCGTATGAAGCTGATACGCTGGCTTTTGATGAACAAAATTGCAGAAGAACATTTTTTTTTTTAAACATTTGCCTCCTTATTTGCAAAAATAACAGGAACTCTGTGTCTTTAGACTCTCTCATTGACTCATTCTGAGCGCTTGCAGGCAGGTAAAAACAAAGCAGGAGTGGAGTGTCCAAGTTCTGAAGGATTCCAAAACTTGTGCAAGTATGCACACATTATCCAATTAAACTCAGCATCATCGCTCCTCCGGTCTGGTCCGGTGCGTAGGAGCCTTACTGGCTCCAGAAAGATCAGAACTGCGTTTCTGGGTCAGTCTGATAGTTTGCATATTAAGGATAGATATGAAAGTCACCTTCGACATGCTGAAATGTCTTTGCCTAATTAGCCAAAAGAAAAAGAAACATGATATAGATTTATAACAGAGGATAAAGTTTCTCTCCTCTGTGAAAAAACAAGATGTCCTGTTTTATTTGCAAGCTAAATGAGTCCCCCCCCCTCCCCGAAGTGATGTCTTGGAAAATGGAGCATTTCAGGAAACGGCACGACTCCGCATGAAATGAGAAACAGTTAATGACCCATTTCATGTTGAAAGTCAGAACAGAGTCTAAAAATCTCCATTTAGGTTTTTTTTTCTCAGGTGTGTCACTGAGTTTTAATGACATATCTAAGAAAAAGAAGCTATTTGTTACTGACTGCTTTTAACATCAAAAAGCTGCAGAAGCCATTAACCCTCCCCAGCTGTTGCTGTGGTCTTTATTAATCAAATTCACCAGAAGACCCTTTAGTCAGTGTTCTTACAAGGAGCGTCCTCTAGGGGGCACACACTGATTTTGTTTTTGTGTTTGCCGCCTCAGGAGAGAAACGTAGAGGCTGTGAGGGGAGCGAAGGACGAGAGGGTCAGAGAGATCCGGAACGCGGTGGAAATGATGATCGCTCGTCTGGACAACCATCTGAAGAACAAACTCATCACTCTCATGGGTAGGAGACCTGCTTCCACAGATGAACTGCAACAGCTCTGGAAGTTAAGACGCTTTACTTGAGTCTGAACTTAAGTGAAAAAGGTCACATTAAATCAATAAAACTACACGGCCTCACATCTGATTCTGGAATACTTTGATATAGGAAGGAGGTTGGTGAATAAAATCATCCACATGGCTCTAAAATGCCTGGGAGATTAGTCCTCTAGTGTTATGAATTTGTTTTAGTTTAAAAGCTGAAACTCAGCCCTACTAGACTCTCCTCCTCCATCTATCTGATCACTACCTGCAGGGAAAGGCCTGTAGAGCTTTAGGAAACGGTTGGGGTTTTATATGTCTTTGTGGTGAGATGACCACCTTTAAGAAACAGATCGGTACCATCTTAAAAGTTTTGTACACGTCAATAATTATTCTCACTCTTAAATATTTGATCAACTAAAGAAGAAAAACTATTAATTGGGAGGCAGTGTGTGTTTTAGTTTTTTATAGTGCAGCTTCTCATTTTAGCATCTGTTTCAAAATATCATTTGTATGATAAAGAGTTTAAATTTTTTTACTTTTTAGCTTAACTTCAGCTGTTTATTGCTTGCTTTTATTCTTTAGTCTGTTTCTTGCAAGTAAAAAAATCAGTCAGGTAAACCGTCTCCTTTCTTCAGTTTCTTTGGATTAGTTGGCAGCAGTTCTCCCTACGCAGGTCGGAACATGAAATCCTCAGGATCAAACTCTCCACTGTCATGTTGGAGCTCTTTTGTTTTGCATTACACATCTGAAAAGATTTCATGTTTGCTTTAAAACGCAGCCCGAGGTTAAGGTTTCTTTTCTTCTTTTTTTTTTTTTTTTTTCAAAACAAAACATTTCAAATCCGTGCTGAAAGCAGCCGAGCCGCCATTTATAGACACGACTATTACACATATGAAATATTTATCCGGAGCGAGCGGATGCCCGCTCTTAGCAGTGCCCACACACACAATCTGCACCGCCGCCCACTCACACACTCAGCAGCCCTCCATCAGGGCCCACATTCAGCTCCACATTCTCCTCCCCAACAGGCCAGAAGACGTCCTTGACCCAGGAGACAGAGCTGCTGGAGTCTCTGCTGCAGGAGGTGGAGCATCAGGTCTGTTGTTCAGCACAGATCAACACCTTCATTCATTGGTATCCTAAACAATCCCAAAGCTGCTTTGTCATGATGTCACTGTTCTGTCACAATCACCCCAATTCTTTATTTTAGCAGAAAAGTTTAGTTTTAATTAATGGGAAAAAACTAAAACCCATTTGGGGCCTTAAAAACCTTAAGCTCAAAGATTAGAATCCTGGTAGGAAACATAACGTATAAAATAACAGTCAACACTTAGCAGCTTGTGTATTAAAGCCTCCTTCATGAAATGCATTTAGTGTAAAAAAAAATCTTGCATTGCTTGGGTGTAAAATGATAATTATGGGTTATATTAATGGAGCTGGAGGCGAATGTAAAATAAGCTTAGAAGTGAAGTTTAATGTAAGGAAAATATTCAATATGCTTGTCTAAAACTCAAGGAACAAAAAGACTTATAATTAAAAGATTATCCAGCTGTTGTTTCTATTTCCTACGTCTTTTTTCTCGCTACAATCATCAGGATTTCAGTTACTATTGAGTTTCTGAATTTATCCTTTTAAAAATTGTCCAGAGAGGTGCAGAGAAATCTACAAATGCCAAATAATACGGACTGTTGGTCAGATAGAACAGATTCGTGACAGAAAGTTAACACATTTATTAACCCACAGGTTCATAGCTGAGTGGTTTCACAGCACGACCTTTTCTGTTTGCATGCGTTTGTGTTGAGCAGCTTCACTCGTGCAGTAAGAGCGAACTGATCTCTAAGAGCCCAGAGATCCTGCTCATGTTCCAGCAGGTCCACCGTAAACCCATGCAGTCGTTCGTCACCACGCCAGTGCCCCCCGACTTCACCAGGTAACACAATATCACACCTTCAGTCCGTTTCACGCCTGATTATAATTAACTGAACACAATCGCTCTTCATGTACTTCTGTGTTGTTTTTAGTGAGCTGGTTCCTGCTTATGATTCAAGCACTTTTGTACTCGTCAACTTCAGGTACTTCTTTTAATGTCTGCCTCTTTGCTCCCTCTCTTCTGCGGAAGGTGCTTTAGCTCGGCCTCCGACATTTGTCTCCAATCACTTCATAATATTTAGCAACTTCTGGTAGAAATGTGGAACGGCTTATGCTTTGTTTACTGGAAGGTATTAACTAAAACTAACAAATGAATGATGAAAACTAGAATTGAAATTTTTTTTTTTTTATGAAATTGAAAAATAAAGTAGATTGTCCTAAAAAAAACTAAAAACTGAGTTTACAGACCAAATAAAATTAACTGAATTTTCAGACAGAATATTTTCATTTGTGTTTTTATCATAATCTATTATGAGAATAGAATAGAAATTTCCTTTATTGTCCCACAATGGAGAAATTCTTGTGTTTATAGCAACAAAGAGATTATAGGAAATAGAATATCAGGTCTAGTTTTTGGTTGTTTTCTCTTTTTTTTCCCAGTCAGGTTATTTATGTTAGAGTGGTCTGACCAAATCTGAAATTTTCTGGGGTTTTTTGTTGTTGTTTTTTTAATAGAAAATAAACTAACAAATACTAAAAACAAATTAAAACTGAAATAGAATTGAAAATCAGAAGTTAAAACATATCAAAACCAAAAATAAAAACCAATGAAAATTTCACAATTCAAACCTTGGTGACTGTAAATGAACAGAGTAAAAAATGTGGGGGGGTTTGGCTTGGCTATGCTCCACCACAGCAATGATGCTAAGTTTTTATTCGGTAGAAGAAGGAATAAAACTCTTTGAACATCAGCAGGGTTGGCTGGACAGACTAGCCCTTTGGGAATCCTTCTGAACCTGTTCTCTCTGTCTGCTGGAGGGGCAGGAGCGCCTGTGTGGCGCGGGCAGGTAGTCCACATTCATAGCGCTGACTTGGTGTCTTCAAACAGATCTGTTTCTCACATTTATTTGTAAATGAGATAAATGTTTGTAAAGACACAGTTTGGCAGCGGTTACTCATACAGTTCAGCTTATAAGCATAATTTCAGCTTAATTTGGACAACTTTCAGTATGACAGTGTAGCACAGGCGGAAAAAAACCCGAAGAGAGAAATTTTTTCCTGGAATGGCTCCCAAGCCTCAGTATTTATGTAGGTGGCTTTTAAATAGTTGTCATGCAGACTTGCTGACCTCAAGATGCCGCTCCTTGCTAAACTTCTCCTATACTCAGCTTTGAAATAGCTAATTATTTGTAGCCATTGCTTTTCTAAAGAGGAGGAATCCAAGTCTTGTTTGAATTCCATGCTGTGTTGTCTTTCCATACACCACTGGAAAACAGGAAGTTGTGTTTTAACTATTCAACTTGAAGTAAAGTGTGTATTAAAGTTGTTGGGTGCATTTATTGCATATGGATCATTAGTGGCGTTAAAACAGTGACACCAATGATTTTGGTAAAAACAGTTAATTATTATACATAATTATTTCTCTACTAAATAACAAATGGAAAAAAGTGTAGAACAAAGAAATAAAATATTCTAATAAGCCAACAGGGTGCAATGATTCAATCAGAAAGCCTTTGTATGTGACCAGGGTTAGCTGATGGCATAGAAATCCAAAGATTCGCAAGCTTTTTGGATTTCTATGCCATCACACTTCTCACTTTATGCTAAAGCTTTAAAGTGACAAGACCCCTTTAAAGCTTTAGCATTGGGTTTTTTTTTCCTGAGATGCCAATTACTGTGGAGGTTGCTGTTACTTTAGTTTACCTTTTTATTTCTCAATTATCTTTTAGAAATGCTCCCCTTAAAGGTATAGTAGAGGATGTTTTTTTTTTGCAGGTGGATCATCTAAATAAGTGGTCCTCCTAACTCTCAGTCATTCTGGTGATAAGCCTATGTGCTCATCCCCGTGGAAAAATTGCTAATCTTCTTTTGGAAAGTAAGTTTGTATGAGCGATGCAAACATAAACTTGTCAACAGAGGGTGCACGAGGAGAAATGGGCTCTGCATGTTCTCGCACAAGTTTAATAGACGTTCCCTGTGTTCAGGGTTGTGCATGTTCATTTTAGGAGAGTGGAGAGGGTGGATCTTTTAAAAAAAAAAATAGCAAAAATCCTCCACTATACCTTTAATACATTTATTATCAGCAGATGTTCACTGATATTGGGTTTTGACGTGTGTTTCTCTGTCTGTAGCACTTTAAGGCAACGGGCCGACCCGGTCTACAGTCCTCCTCTGCAGATATCTGGCCTCTGCTGGAGGCTTAAAGTCTACCCAGTAAGTCTGTAACCAGTTTTTAAGTGTTTCCTCTGAGTTTGGACACTTTTTAGAAATTACATATATAAGGTTCTGTTTATAGTTAGTAACTATAGTGTGGTATTTCTTCAGGACGGTAACGGCGTTGTCCGTGGAAACTATCTGTCCGTGTTCCTCGAACTCTCTGCTGGACTTCCTGAAACGTCAAAGTAGGAATGTTTCTTTGAAAAAAAAAAAACACCTTTTTTTTCTTTTCTTTTATTTGCACCCAAATTCTACTTTTAGGCCTCCAAAAGATTTAATTGATTATAAGGATTTTATTTCAAAGGCTTTAAATGTTTTGATATTTCTCATTTTCTGAAAAGCAACTCAAACTGAAGATGACTGGTTTTGCATGGGAGTTACCAACATTACTTTGGTTTCCAGTGGAATCCTTCCTCCATTATTAACATCCAGCTTGACCATCATAACGATAGACACTTTGCCTTCTTTGTCAGATTGATTGAAAATATTTATTTGTTTTTTCTTTCAAACTTTGAGGCATTTCGAAGTTGATTTGTTAAAAACCCACGCTGTAATAAATCTCTGATTTCCAGAGGTTATTATAAGCAGAAATCACTTGTTTATATTTGTTGTTCAAATATATTTAAAATGCCGCACTCTTAAAATAATATAAGATTTTGCCAAAATTTCAGGTTTTTAAGTCTGTTTGCTAAATAACAAAAAAGTTATTTTTTTTCTTCTCTTTCTATATAATGGGTATAATCTAAATTAAAGGCCAAATTTACCTGATTTGTTTTGGAAATGTTTGCATAAGGGTTTTTTCTACCACCTAAAATTTTGGTTATCAACCTAAATTCTTGTTATTCTTTTACTTTTGAGCCTAAAGTTCTTTAAAATCTAAATATCCCTGTTAGGTTGATCAGCACCAGCAGATTAGATTAAAAAGTTCACCCTTAAGGTTTTTAAAAATAATTTTGATGTTATGTGCCAACAAAATTAACTATAAACCTTTAATGGTTTAAAAATAAAACACCCTTCAGATTTGGAAAAAATAACTCAATTGCGAACATTGGATGTTAGTTATTCTTTCTGTGCAGTCCGGGACCGAATGACAGATGGACCGGTACCGGCTTAGAGGACCACTGATCTAGAGTGCTCAATAAACCCCCTTGATGCTTTTTCTGATGATGTTTGCACGCTGAGCAGCTTACCTGCTAAGCTAACGATGGCATGTCTGGTCTTTGTTTTGATATCACACCTTGTGATTTTAGTTATTTTTGCTCTGACAAATATTAGTTTGTCCTCCTACCTTCCTGCTGAAGGCTGTTGACAGTGTGAATAGTATAATGCACAGACTGGAAGCTGCATTTCAAAGGCTGTAATGGTTACACCAACAAAAATGTTTGAAGCTTATGATTTTTTGCTAAGTTATTGTTAAAAGACTTTTGTTTTTAGAAAGTGTGTTAAACCAGAGGAAACAATGTGTGGGTTCTGTTATTCTGTTAAGATATGAGTATCGTGTTGAGATGGTCCACCAGGCCTCCAGCGACCCGACCAAGAATATTATCAGAGAGTTTGCTTCAGACTTTGAGGTTGGTGAATGTTGGGGCTACAACCGCTTCTTCAGGCTGGACCTGCTGGCCAGCGAGGGCTACCTGAACATGCAGACCGACACGCTGGTGCTCCGGTAAGCTCATGCTTCACAATGATGCCTCATTTTCTGTCCTGTTACTATAAAGTAAAGAAACAAATAGCAGCAGTTTGGTTTGTTTGACATTGTGCAGCTACCAGGTTCGCTCCCCAACGTTCTTCCAGAAGTGCAGAGATCAGTACTGGTATATCAGCCAGCTGGAGTCAGCCCAGAGCGGCTACATCCAGCAGATCAACAACCTCAAAGAGGTAAGCCGTGAACCGAATCTTTGGGTTCTTTTCATGCGACGACCTGTTTAATTAATGTGTCGGATCTCAGAGGCTGGCCATCGAGTTGTTTCGCCGCCAGACATCCCGCAGCTCCTCGCCCCCTGACCTGAGGCTGGCTGGAGGCACCACCATGTCTGAGAGAGACCCTCGCTCTGTGAAAAGTGACGACGACGGCCAAACCACCCTGAGCCTCTCTAAGAAAGGAGATGAAGAGGAAAGGACGCAGCATGACGATTCAAATGTGAGGCTTACATGATACTGCGTCTCACCGAATTGGTAGCTGATGGATTCTTAGATCAAAAATTTATATTGGTAAAAATATTGTCTTGAGGAAAGAAGGGTGAGCTTGTAAATTTGTCAAAATCTGGAATAGTTCAGAGCAACACTTATTTTTTAACAAGTAGGCATAAATTAGTTTTACATGACCTGCAGTTTCAAAGCCCAAATCTAGACTCTGTAGGTCTGTAAGGTTCAGAGATTATCTGTTTGTTTAGGATCAGACTTAATCCCGACACTTTTTTGTTTTTTTTTTAACCTGTAAGTAGTGCTGCAGGATTAATCTAATTGCAATCCAATGCTTTGCAATTATGTAATTGCGTTAAAGACTGCAAGTCTTGCATAAAGCTTATGAAGCGCCAAATTGGAAAAAAGCTGGGCAAAACAAGTGAGACTGATCATAGAAAAAAGCCCCGCCCAGTTTTTGAAACCTGAGCGACTGCCTGAGTGTGCGTGACACCGGCCCAGTGTCAGCGTGGCCGATCAGGAGTGCGCGAAACCTGGAGAGACAGTGCAAGGCATTCCAGAGGAGGTATGCTACAGACCGATAGAGAGATGTGCGTAAAACTGGTTAAAATTTTGCAATAGGGCCTAATTAAATGGTGCATTTTTTTTTCTATCTAAAAAATTTTATTTTCTTTTTCTGCTATTGCTGCACCTTTTTCTTCTTTTTAAAAAAAATATGGATATGCAGTACTGTCCCCAAGGCACAAACCTTGAGGCTTATTTTGAAGTGTGTAAATATATATCCACTTGACTTTTGCACAACACAAATAATGGTCCGAACCCCATTTATAAGGGAAGAAATTCCACTTATTAAACCTGACAGGGGACACCTGTGAAGTGAAAACCATTTCAGGTGACGACCTCTAGAAGCTCATCAAGAGAATGCCAAGAGCAAAGCAAAAGGTGGCTACTTGGAAGAAACTAGAATATAAGAAATATTTTCAGTTGTTTCAAACTATTTTTTAAGTATATAATTCACCAGGTGTTAATTCATAGTTTTGATGGCTTTAGTGTGAATCTTCAATTTAGTTATGAAAATAAAGAAAACTCTTTGATTTAGGTGTGTCCAAACTTTTGGTCTGTACTGTGTATGACAAATTAATTGTGAATAAGAGAAAACTAATTCAGCTATTCATTTAGTTTCGCTGTTGGTTTTTATGAGGAAAATGTTGAATATTTGATAGAATAGAAAAGTCTAGTAGAACTATTAACACACACAACAACATAATTGTTTAACAACCGTAAAAGAAGGATGCAGATTTCTGAACATTGACTTTGGAAAGTTAAGGAAGTTTTGCATTCCTGACTTTGCAAACAAAAGCTGTGATTAGATCATCTAAATGCAGGGATTTTATCTCGCTGTCGTTCAGGAGCTTTCGGATGGAGACCTTGAGGTGGACTGTCTCACTGAAGAGGAGGTGAACCCGCTGGATGGAAGCAGCACCTCAGGAAGCTCCACGGCTACTAGCAACACAGAAGAGAACGACATAGACGAAGAAACCATGTGAGTGCAATTAGCTTCTTAAACTTCCAGAAATCAACGTTTGCTCATAATACAGCTTCAAAGCCTCCTGTAAACTTTGCTCAGGTCAGGGGAAAATGATGTCGACTTCATCGGGAACCTGGAGGCAGAAGAAGGAGAGCTTACTGAAGACCTGGCCGGAGCCACAGGTATGATCCTAACAGCAGGTGTTTTACATGATTCATTACATGCATAGTAACCCTGCTCTATGGAAGCGTCTCCATCCTTATTCTCTGCTCATTTCCATCAATGCCTCATAAAAGAGTCACGCTCCTCAGAACTGCACCCATGCAAAGTTTGACTTTGCCTCACCAGTAGACTTCCTCACATTTAGTGTTTGTCTGCATGCTGAGAGGAATGATAGCTTTTTATAGGGCAGCTCTTATAACGGGAGCTCATAAATCTTTTAACCTACCGTATAAAAGCAGAATTGTGTTTTCACTTCCATTTTGGTCTTTTGTTTATTTTTACATCCCTTCTATAAACTTCATTTTGTCTCCAGTTGTTCTAGACTGTTATAATTTGTAATACCCGGTAATAGAAGTCTGAAATATCCTTACAGGCTTAATTACTTAGTGGCTTCATGAGTTCATGAAATGTAATGAAACGATGTTAAGATGGACACATGCTAATGACATTAACAGTAACTTCAGTAGACACAGTTGACTTTGGGTCATATGACTTAAAATTCACATTCAGATTGACATAAAAACACTTTTTAAATCATTTATTTAGATAAAACAGCGATCACAACCAATCCCTGATCGTTATGCTGTAAAATGGTGCAAATCAACAGAAATAACAGCTAAAAATAATCCTTCATTAATATCAAAATAACTGGATGAATGTTATAATCTGTACTTCATGTAAAATATTTTCTATATGAACAATTGACAAAAAAACCCTCAAAAATGTACTGTAGTCCACAGTGATGCATTGGTTTCCAGCATTTTTGGGGGATTTTATTTGTTTTTTTATAATACTTTTCCCTCAGAGGTTTAATATGTGGATCAAGGGCTGCTTTAACCATCTTCTTAAACCTGCTTTCATCCACTGTATCCAAATTAGCCATAACCTTGCTAAAGCACGTTGTAATGACTTTGCTATGTCTGCTTACGTAGCACCATTGTTTTTCTAACCTCCTGCGCAGCGGCTTCTATTTCGAAAAAGCGCAAATCTCTACTGTAGGCTAAATTTATAACATTTCTAACATGTATTGCATTTACCTCGCAGCTCTATATTGACTGATTAATTGCTAGAAATGTATGGCTTGTTTTAGTGACACTTTTCTCTACTGATATTACAGAAAAACATGATGTAGAAATAAATATATATAAAATAAATTAATCCCTGTAAAGGAATAGACCCAAAAAATCCTGAAATTATTAAGTAGATTTGTTCATTGCAAAAATTCGATTCCCGGTCTGGGCTCTTTCTGCGTGGAGTTAGCATGTTCTCCCTGAGCATGCGTGGGTTCTCTCCGGGTACTCCGGCTTCCTCCCACAGTCCAAAAACATGACTGTTACACCATGAATGGTTGTATGTTTGTCCTGTTTGTCTCTGTGTTGCCCTGCGATGGACTGGCAACCTGTCCAGGGTGTACCCCGCCTCTCGCCCATTGACTGCTGGAGATAGGCACCAGCACCCTTCGCGACCCCAATTGGGACAAGCGTGTCAGATAATGGATGAATGGATGAAACCCTGTAAAGGAATTGACCTAAAAATCCTAAAATTATTAAGTAGATTTGTTCGTGGCAAAAAAAGATGATTGAAATCAGTCTTTGGAAGGCAAACAGGCCCACAGCCTCACAGATCTCCATCTATATCTTTGTTTTCTCTCTAGAATCATCTGCAGAGTTTGTTGTTGGTAAACCTACATCTCACTGAATCACATGGTTCCAGTTAAAGTCTCATTACTATTTAGTTTAAAATGTTGACTTTTGTGATGGTGGAACAGAAAATAATCCACCCGAAAGACCAGCTGCCATGAAGGGATCATCTAACGGTTGATCTGGACGCCCCTATCTCCTGCTGCTCTCTAGAACTAGACTCACACTGTTTCACTAGGGATCATCTTTAACAATATGTTAGCAAAGCTGCTGTGGGGATCTTTAAGGGTCAATGATTGGTCTATCGGCATAATAGATCGGTAATAGATTCAGCCAAGGGACAGAGGGCTGTACCGCGGAGCAGGAATAAAGGGTTAGCGGAACAACCTCAGGTTTAACACTGACTTTCAGGATTCATTCTTAGTTAGGCTAGTTACCATGGTAACATACTCTGCACAACAAACCTGCTCCAGGGTAGGCTAGCTTTTGGGAGCAGCAGTGTGGCCGTACCCATAGATGATCATCTCCCTGCCATCCCTGTGTATAAACCTCAGTTTTCATCTGCCTAACTGCAACGGCATGATCTCTGGCCTTTCTTACTTTGAAGTGTAGTCAAGAAAAACAAGGAATTTTCATTGCAAGGTGAAAATCATGTCTCGTCTGAAAGCTGAGTGCTCCCTTTATTTAAGCAAACAAAGACATCAGCCGCTAAATCTGGAGTTTAGATTGTTCTTGTTTTGGAGCCGGTGGCTGCTGACAGGCCCTATAGCTGCTCCTCGGTGTGTTCTGCTGTGTTGGTGTTGAAAGGCATGAAGAGGATGAGTCATTGCTGGATCACAGTGCTCTCTGTTCTGCCTGCTGATATAGAAACACTCAGTGTTCCCTGTGCAGCATGTTTGATTCAAACACAGAACGTTGGTGCAGCCCGTTTGTAGCTGCTACTATAAAGTAGGTTATGTCTTTATATTGTTTCTTTGATATCAGAATTTGGGATTTTATTGTAGAAATTGTAATTATTTCTATTTATTTTTAAATAATTAGCCCTGGAACTCATCCAGTCTAGATTAATGAGGACTAAGGAGAAACCAGATCATCACCTCTATAGTTTAAATAGATGCTTGTTATTCTATCTTATAAACCGTGATCAACTTTTTCCTAATTTATTTATTATATATTAAAGAAATATTTTAACATTTTTATCAAACCAAAGATAGCAGAAAAATGAGGTTGGTTCATTAGATTAACTGTGCTGACAGTTTGGGTGTTAAATTAAAATTGTGAGCTGCATTTATTGTAGAGAGAATCAAATCAGATTTAAAGCTTAAAAATGGTAAATCAAAAATCATTAAAAGATAATGGACAGAGTTTCTAAAAACAACTTAGTATTAAAGCTGAGAGCTCTGGAATATTTAGAGAAGTATGTTCAGGTAATTGCAATCAGGGAAAGATTTAGATGTAACTCCGGTCCTATAATCTTCCTCCATCCATCACCACTTCTCTTGTTGCTCTGAATGAAGTCAGTAAAAATCATGGAACTTAAATGTCTCTTGATAAAAAGCAAAGACGTTAATCCGAGGAAGTGTGCTTTCTGATTGGCAGGTGGATCCACCTCCAGCATGCGTCTATCACATCGAGGCGCCGCCGCTGGTCGTAGCGGTGGTGGGAGCGGAGCTTCTGCTGCCCCTGTTGGGGGCGCTGTGGGGCCAGGCAGCAGCAGCCTTCTAGAAATTGACCCAGTCATCCTGATCCAGCTGCTGGACCTGAAGGACCGCAGCAGTGTTGAGTCTCTGTGGGGGCTCCAGCCTCGACCTCCAGTGTCTCTACTACACAGCCAAGGTCAGTGAACCCCCCCCCTCACCAAAAAAAGATCATGGTAATAGGAGCTGCATGTCACAGTGAATTAGTTAACTTTAGAAGTAATATTTATGGATTTACCTTGATTCATGAATTAAAAAAATAAGGGATAATGGCAACCGAAGGCAATTAAGGGACAGTCACAGGCGTGTAGACAAGTGAGTCAAAATAATTTTCCAAGCACCTGAAATTTAATTTCTGATTTAAAAAAATGCAATACTAGAAATAAAAAAACTATGATTAGTCGAATAGCTAAAAAAAAAGAATGTATAGGTAGCTGGGTTTATTAAAAATGATAATTAGTTCTTGTTTTGAAATATATTTTTATGAATATTGTTGTTTAAATGCAAACTATATTTGTCATTTTTTGTTAAGTCCATGAATTCTACTTATTAACTGTTCCTTAAAAGTGAAGCAAACTTCCAACATCTAGTCAAATATGAAACATCAGAAGTAAATCTGCAGAAGAGAAACCGCAATGAGGAAAACACTACAGATGTACGTGTGCTGTAAAGAAATATTCAGGCACATTGGTAAAATCAAAATAAAGAAACTGTTAAGGGGAAAAAAATCTATATTACTACATAGTAATAGATCAAGCTAAAAAAAGTAGCATTTATTCTTCATTTACAATTAATAAATAATACATTTCAAACTCACCAAAATAACTTTAGGTTTGCGTGCAGGACTCCTTCTGACTGCATTCTCTTGACCAATATAACTGTGCTCTAAATGAAAAAGTGACTTCATCTTCATCAAAGTCCTTAGGACATCATCTCCTCCACAATGAGGCTGAAACTGATGGTGGAGGAGCAGAAACCTCTAACTTCTATATAAACATACTGCCAATCTGTGGTACCATTGTGGTTGGATGATAGAGAAAACGGGTAGCTGAGTACCAAACCACAGCTGCATCGTGTTTACTCACACCTTTTAATAAAGTTTTAAAGTTGCGTTAAAACAATGTTTAGCTTTCATGGAGTGAACCTCACTAAGCCTGACATATCAATGACTGGAAATCTGTTCCAGGTATGTTAAACAAGGTAACTGTGCAAAGGAAATGCATTCTATAAGTGAGCCACATTAAACAGATCAACCATGTTGGAGTTAAATCTCTACAAAAGAACATCTTTACTTTGAACTTTTCAGTTTATTAACAGGTGGTAACAAAACTATAAAAAAACAAAGCAAAACTGTTAACCTTGCTTTCTATGTCCAAAGGATAAAAGTTTAGGTTTTGTACTAAAGTTTTGTTCCTAAATGATCTAAAACTATTACAGGAAATTTGTTGTTCATTGTGCTGAAAGAGACCATCAGGCCACCTTGAATGACCATTAACAGCAGATCTATCTCCACCTTCTGAATAAATCAAAGCCAGCTAAACATTTCTTTTTTTTTTTTAATCTTTTTGCTGTATTTTTATTTATTTATTTTTTTTTATTCTCTGCAGCACACCCCCACTCAAGAAAAGAGCGAGAGCGGCGGCCGCAGGTGGTGCGGCGGTCTCCTCCAGACTCGGGCGTCCTGATCCGCCTCAAGGCTCAGATGGCCGAGGTCCGCAGCAAGATGGCCGATGTCAAAAGTCAAGTTATGGAGGCGCGGGAGTCCGGGGAGCCCAGACCCGGCCCATCTGGTGGCTTCAGCGTGGAGGAGGCTTCAGCTCATTCTGGGAATCTGGAGCTGCCAGCTTGTCACAAGGGTGGTGAGCTGGAGGGGGTGGGGAGGGCAGCTGCGGCCCGATCCAGGGCCTGCCGACCCGGTAAGTACTGTGTCAGAACCAGTCTAATTCACTATGTAATTGTTTATATAAGATAAAGTCCAGTGTGTAAAGGCTGGACTGGAGCTGCTCTCATCAGGAACTAAATCAGGTTGATGTCAGCAGCTTTTGTTCCCTGCTGAGCTTTACTTTATGGTGCAAATATTTTAGGACCAATGAGCTTTCCATTAACTGTTCTATACATTTCACAGAGGTCTGTTAAGTAAAGGCTTTGAAGCATCCATCTATTCATCCGTTCATTTGTCTTTCCATCTGTCTGCTCCTCTGTTTCATCCATCCATCCAGTTTGTCCTTTCATACACGTATCCATTCATCTGTCATTTGGCTAAAGGAGAAAAAGGCCTGAAACTTTTCAGAAGGCTGAACGTGTCAGAGCAATAACCTGAAACCCACCCAGGATACGCTTTATTTATTACACGACAGCTGAAGTTCAGTTTGTCCTTGGTGTGAAACAAGAATGTTTTAAAGTGAAATAACTTTATTTACATAAATCCTATGTTGCTCATGTTTACCGACTTTTCCTGTTTCTATATTTCCTTCATTTTTACGTTTTCTTATTTTTTTTAAAAAGAAAATGAAAACCTAAAACATAAATATAGTTAATTTTAGCTCGATCTTCCACCGCCGTCTATTAGTTGCATTGTAAATTCTTCGTTCTCTTCGTGCTCTGGATGTTTCTGTCTTTTTTTTTTTTTTCTCCCTGTCAGTTCTTTTGTAGAAGGCAAATATGTCCGCCTCTTGTCTCCTTCATATCTCGACTTAAACCCCTCCTACCTCCGCAGCTCTGAAGCAATCCCTCTAGTTAGGAGTTTCTCTTTTAGATTATTAATAAACATAAAAATAAACTAACCAAAGAATGGATGAAGTTCACACAGCATTTATATTATTATACCATTTGTATTAAATAACTACATTTCTGTAAAGTTCTTGTCAGAATTCCTGTTTTGTTTCTATTTTTTTTAAAAAACGCATCTATCTTCTGTACTCTGACTTATTTGCCATTTTGTCCTGTTTGCAGCGAGGAAGTCTCTGTCGCCTGTCCTGGACAGCAGCAGCAGCGGATCTTTGCTCGTAAAGAGGAGGAGTCCTGAGGAGAAAGATATGAGAGGAGCAGAAGCTTCTGCAGAGCTCAGCCTGCACCCTAAAGATGGGATGGGAGCTGTTGAGGGTCAGTAGGTTCCAGCCTTTTGAAACTCTCTCTGAACCTAATAATGTTTGTTGGACAATCAGGATACAGCAGAGAAAATGCTGTGCATGTATCTGCTTTTCTACAGAGCTGTGAGAGGCTGAACATTTGGTGGATAAAATAAAATGTTAGGAGCAGCTTTAAATTGGTGTTTAGCTTCTTACTATGAGGCATTGTGGTGGAAATCGGGCTGTTTTTAAAACCTGAGTGTACTTAACTCGTGATATTTTTTAAAAGCCTCTCTTCACTGCAGCTCTAAAAACATCCACTCTGCTCTCTGTGCTGTTGGAGTTCGACTGAAAATAGTCGCTGATTCTCAAGTGGCTCGTCTGTGTTAAACTGTGGGTTGTTTTAGCACTACTCACTGCTCGTCTCTTAACACCATTTTACTTTCGTTGCAGCACCACGTATTTGTATTTTTTCTCTTTACAACACATACAATGTTGTTTAGTTTCTGCTTCAAATTTGCTAAGTTGTAAGATTTTTGGGGGGGATAATTATTTTTTTCTTTTAAGAGGCACCAGAGTTTTTATTTTATTTTTATGAGGGACAAAAAATAAATAAAGATGAAAATGTATAAATATTCATATAAATAAGTAAATACTTGACCCATGGGAATCCCGAAAAAAAGGTTTTTCATTGTGCATTCTGGGTGATTCTCCCAGTTGAGCAATCATGATGAAGACAATAGTTAGAACCACCCACCTCATTAACATACAGAGACAGACCAAATAAAAAATAAATAAATGTGGAAAGGCAGAAATACAGAAATAAATGTTGGAAGAAATAAATAGGACTATAAAAAATGTTTAAATAAATAAAAAAATAAATAAACAAATAGGAGAATAATTAAAGGAGATAAATACACAAAAAATAAAATAAAAAAGAACTGTCCATTTTTGTGACTTAAACATATTTTGAATGAATAGAAAATCCCTTTATTGTCTCACAATGGGGTAGTTGTCGTCTTACAGCATAAAAAGATTTTAGCAAATGTGGTCACACTAATGTTGACCTTAAAAAGTGTATAAAAACAACAGAATATGTGACAAAGTAAAAAAGAAAAGAATAAATAAATAAAATACTGTACTGTACAGTGTTTGAGAATAAAGAACCAATATACAGCTGTGGACATTTTTTAAGTAATGGATATTTGAAAATAGCAGCAACATCAGAGATGTGCAAAAAATGACAGCAGCAGGTTATTTAACTGCCTAAGACAGAAACTGTGCAAAAATCAACATATATGTTACAACTTATTGAGGTTGTTGGGAACAGTGGAGGTTATAGATTATTTTTGCTGCTGGGAGGAAGTATCTGTGATAACGCTCCCTGGTGCATTTAGGGCCCAACAGTCTCTCCCTGAAGAAGCTCTCTGGTTCTGCAACAGCTTCATGCATGGGGTGAGAAACATTATCCAACAAAGATGTTAAATTAGTTGGTATTCTTTTGTTTCCCACCTCCTGCACTGAATCCAGTGGGCATCCAATAATAGAGCTGGCCTTGCTGACCAGCTTATTCAGTTGCTTCCTCTCAGCAACAGATAAGCCACTGCTCCAACAGACGGCTCCATAGAAGATGGCTGATACCACAACAGAGTCAATGAAGCATTTATTCAAGCATTCTTTGCATATGCCTTTATTTATACATGTATATATATGTATACATACGTATGTATTTATTCATTTATACAGTTATATGTGTATTTATTTTGCCATTTTTCTCCCCTCATAGTTTTCATTTCATTTAAAGAAACAAAAAAATCTCTCTATCTTAAACTGATCTCTTCCGGATCTGTTTAGGTATAAATGACTGCTGCCACTTTTTGCTTATTGATGCATCAGTTTGATTGCATTTAATCCTAATTTATTCATCACATTCTGTGCTTTGAAACTTAACTAAATCAGAACTTTGTCTCCATCTCCTTTCTTTCCCCTTGTTTCTCTTCCAGAAGTGCTAAAGTCTGAAGCTGTCGCTGGGCCCCTGGTGTCTTTGGGTTCCTGCTCATCAGATCAAGCGTCTGCCAGCACCAAGCAGCAGTACGCGGTTGAACAGCAGCTGTACGGCGCCTCGGGGTCCAGAGACGAGATCTTCTCCCTGGGAGCTCCGGGCTTCATGGCTGCCAGCAAGGCCTGCAGTGGCAGGACTCTGGGGTGCGACTCAGATTCTCCTTATGCTGCAGTAAACAGAGCTTCCCCACATCATCACATAACGCTTTCATTTCTTGCTGCTGCAGGGCAGCTGTGATGGAGTGCGAGTCTGAAAGCTCAGGAAACTCCCAGCAGTCCCTGCTGGAGGGGATCTCTGCTCCGCTGCAGTCAAACGAAGGTGGGTTCACCATCATAAATGTCAGCAGCTCTCTGCGCTGTGTTGTTGCTTTAACATGGATGTCAGAGAATACAGCTAATAAGCCACCATGTTTATTATTTATACCTAGAAATGTTTGGATGAGATAAACCAAAAATAAAGAATGTGTCATTATCAGTTTATTTTAATGAATAGTTTGGATTAGTTTCTTTTTTTTTTTTTATTGTGTGAATGTTACCAGAGTTCAGGCTAAGTTTAAAAAGCGTGCGTCTTAATAAACATCTGTTTTATTTCTTTACCGCATTTTCAAAGCATACTGTGTCCTATCAGGGCTCTTTGGACCTCCCAATGTGGCTCTTAATAATTCTGCCTGAAATGATAAAAAACTAGTTAATGTTTTTAAATTCAAATATAATACCAAATCCAGATTTGAGCTGTTTTTGTTTTAAATAACTGCATGAAACTTCACATCTGGGTGAAACTTTAAGTAACAGAAAACAGGCTTAAATTGGAGGCAACCAGACTTGCTCAGGTTTTTTAAGGATGTTTTCACACCTTTACAGGACTCTTTGTCGGCTCACAGCAGAGCTAAAATAAAGCTGGAGCACTGATGTATAGAAGTGCTCCAAGGAGGTCCCTCCTTTTAAGCTCATTCCAAGTCAGATGCAGGTCAAATAGCCACACATCTCTCTGCTGGATTATTGGAGTCTTAAATTGTGCATTTCCTAATCCAATTTAATCCTGTTTTGTGGTTGCCATGACCCAAATGACTGAGAATTTACACAAACATCTTGAAGTATCAGTTTTAACTCTCATTATCTCCTTTGGGTGGAAACTTTTCTCTATTTTTTAACAATCCTATATCCCTTTCAATAATCCTATAAAAGGTAATGTATCTGTTGTCTTCCAGAAGAATTTGTATGTACAGTGAGCATTACTAGATGGTCTAAGAGATTGTTCTTCATAGCTATATATGATTCCATCACATGTTTTATCTGGTTGAAGTTTATATTTTGGGTGATTTTTAGGGATTTTTCCATAATTCAGCATTATCATCCTGTTATGCCCTATTTAGTGTGTTATTTCAAAGAAGTGTAATTTGCTTGGTAGCAACTAGTATGCTTTACAAGTAGATTTTCCATTCCATGTGGTTTGGCCATTAATAGAAGCACATATGTTAGCAGGTATTCATAGAAAAGCTGCTGGAAACAGATTTTTTTAAAGCAGGGAGTAGCTACTTTGGTGCATGTCTTTCCTTTCCTAAAGTTTTTTTTTTTATGCATTTCCATTAGTTTCTGATTTTGTCATTTTTTTAAAGCACCTGATGTTGAGCAGTGACAGATTTATAAGAGAGACTTAATTTATAGTCGGTCCATTTGGGGCTGCAGATGTGAAAAGTGAGGCTAATTTTAGTAACAAAGATCTTTTTTTTTTTTTTTATTAAAATGTCAAAATATGTCGTCTTTAGATCAGTCTTCATCTGTGCTGGTGGCAGCAACCAGCAGTGACAGCGACAGCGAGGACGAGGCTCTGCAGAGCAGCAATTCCCGATATGACAATCACACCCCTTCTTGTACAGGTGACTCACAGCATCCATGGAAGTTTACCTGGTTTTATTCATACAGAATTTAGAATTTAACTATTTTGGTCTCTATTCGGATCTAATATATCCTGATTACAGAAATAAAATGTTTTCGAATAAACAGGAAACAATAAATATAAATATGATTGGGGAAAAAATGACCTCTGCTGAATTTTCCTTAGAACTTGTGCTTGGATTAGATGATTGATTATAACAGAAGGATCTCTGACAGACAGTATGCTTCTGATTTCTGAAATCATTAGCAAGGGGAAGAAAGACTCATAGAAACCTGTTTAGTATTGGATTTGAGACTAAAGTTTCTTCTCATTAGTACTGGAGGAGTTAATAGCATCTAATGGAAGTGACTATGATGCTGTTCTCCAGATGCTCTCATCCTTAGAAAACCTTCCTTGTTAGAATGTTAAAGCAAATTTATAATGTGATTGGCTAACTTTAATACTCAGGTCTCATAAATAAAATAAACAGCGGAGCATCATAACATGAAAATGAAAAAATAAAAAGGACATAATGTTAATGTCTGATGTTTCAAGCCAGATTAGAGCTGTTAACTGCACTCCTGTGTCGTCTTCTCCGTTTCCTGACTGAAACCTGATTTTGATTCATTAAGAAGGCGGTTTGTTTTTGTCAAATATGAACCAAATTTGTTGCCTAAAAAAATCACACTTATTCATTCCGTGGATAGAAAAACATAAAAAGCTAGAATGGATGTTAAGAGATTCTCTCTTCACTTGGTGAATGAACCTTAATTAAAATGTCACATGGAAATTGTTTGAAATTTTCCTTGAAGATCAGCTAATCATTAAAGCATTAGTTAATCCTCTGGCTGTTTTAAGAGATTTTATTTTTTGTTATCTGCCAATGTATGGTTTATATAATGTTGCTGTTTAAGTGCAGAAAGCAGGATTATTTTCAGTGCCTGCATGGAAACATGTAAAGAAAACTCAATGTGATTGCTATTAAGATAAGAACAATCTCTGCAGACTCAAACTGTTTTGTCTCCTCTTTCCACCAGGAGAGCTTCTCCTGTCTGATGATGGCAGCCATCCTGCCATCAGGTGACTCTCTGGGAGCCTGTCGGACCGATTCACTTCGAGTCCAAACAGCCGATCATCAATGGCTGCAAATACGGACTGACATTTAGAGTATAAGCTGCTTGTTTGTGCATGAACCAGAAGTAAAGACGGTACTTAAACCCAGTCTGTTCACCAAAAGGCGGAAGCATCCGTGTGCGTCCCGAGGATTCTCAGATTGGGTCCAAGGTGCTGATAAAAACAAAAGCAAGTTCCTATTTTTTTGTAAAATAAGTCAAAAATATCTCCTTTCAGAGATCCAAGTTGCAAACTCCTTGTTCTTTTATAGGAGTAATTATTATTTAATTTCAATAACTGCCATCTTATTTAATTCAATAAATAAGCTGCTTTTGTTTCTTCTACTTTGTGTAGAAATGCATTCCTAGATTCCAGTTGTGTTTTAGTTCTCTGTGTTACTAAGTTCTGACCCATCAGCTTCCACCAGAATCTTTTGTCAAATATTCATCTAAAAGCTTAACTACACAGCGTTAGTTTTCTCTTCTTTCTATTTTATTCATGTAAAGCTGCTCACATCTGCACAATGAAAGTTTAACGCTCTGCAGATTCGAGAAGGCGACCAAGCCAGATGTTTTTGACACCATCCTGCATGCTAACATCACTAACTGTGCTGGTTTCTTTTTAACCATGTAGTTAAAAGAACATTAACTTCACCTTATGAATGACCCTCTTGTTGGCAGCAGCCCTTTTTCTAAATAGTCTTGCATGCATTCCTTTGAAAAGAGCTAAGAAAAAGATATTCATGAACAGACCATCTAAATTCAGAGATGTGTTGCAGTTTTAGGTCTTATTTATTGTGTAGGGTGAATGTTGAGGGTTGGAGGTGAATCATTTATAAAGTTCAACTTGTAAATTTTTGTTTGTTTTTAAAGAATTTAACATCTAAAACAAAGCAAACATATTTTCTGTTCATTAATAAATAATAAGTAAGATAAAAACTCCACTTGCAGGGAAAATCTCGTGTTTGGGGCTTTAACAGGTTTAATGTGTTTCGTTTGGTCAGATAAAGGTATAGTATTAATAATTTGGTTGTAATGAGGGAAATCTGGGAGGGCTTTGCTGTGATAAAGGTCGGTAATTATGTAACATGTTCTTAGCTGCTGTGCTGCTGGCTTTTCTTAATGGTTTTTTTTTATTTTTCGGTTTACACCTCAGTGCTCCGAATAAACAGAGCAGAAGCTAATTATAAAGGTCTGCGTTGAAACTTTAAGCTCTAATACCCTTGGTGTTGTGCTATTTTACACCTTCCTGCTCTTCTAACACTCATTCAACCCTTATATATTGTCCCGGTATTAGTTTACATTGTAAATATGTTTAAATTCAGCACCAGTATAAGTTTGTCTGGGTTTATTTCTGAGAAACTGGCTTAGGAAGGAAGTACACGGCTTTGAGTTAATATATTAACCTGAAAATCAGTCTTCATGCTGTTTCTGTCACTGCTGCCACTTATGAACAAACTAAAGCAAGATTCTCGTCACGCAGTGTTTTTTTTTTTGTTACTATTCCTGTTTTTATTGAAGCTGCTTTTGTTTTAAATGTTCCCAGAATGCGAAATGTATTATTCTCTGAATATTTTTATCTAATAAATGAAATGTTTTACAACACATAAAAAAAGCAAAGTCCTTTAATTTCTACTAATTTATACCAAATATATTATCATAGTATAGAGAATCAGTTGTTCTTTGAATGTGAAAATGTAAAAACTAAACGATAGGATTTCAGGTTGTCCAATTTCAAAGGCTGAGATATTATTTAGGGTTTCTGCACAGTTTAGAAAGGTATCGAAATTAATATCTTTTCAGGTCTAAATAAGGAACTAGAAGTATTAAAATATGTTTCTTGAACTTTCCTAGTCTACTGTCTTGTAAATTGTTACTCCTTTGTCTTTAATATTAATTCTGTTAATCTTTCATACTTCCTTTTTCACCCTCAATCAATTCTTTTTTTCACAGCCCTCAATCTTCCTTGCTCCCTTTTTTCACCTTCCTCATTTCATCCTCACCTTTCTACTTTCTTACCTTTATTTGTTGCCTATTCCCTTCCTTTCCTGTCCTCTACAGCATTTTTTTTTTTTTTACATATTTATTTCTATGAATGTTAATATGAACACTTTTAAATATTTGCTAACATCGGAGTGTCCTTATTTCATCTCTTAACTGATTTATTAACCTGTGGAGCTAAATAGCGGAAACAGAAAGTGAAGGTATTGACTAAAAAACGCAAATGGACCTTAAAATGAAACTCAAAAAAACTTTAAGCAAAAGGTAAAATCAATAAAAAGAACTAAGAGAAATAAAACCAAATTTGGAAAGACTGGAGTATGAGAAGCCTCAAGAAAAATAAATGCAAACGAATAAAAGTGTTAATGCCCATCCAGAAAAATGTACTGTATATATCAGGACTTATTAAAACCTCAATGAATAACAGGGAAATCGAAAAATCAGAAACATAAAAACCCGAAAGGGGAAGAATGTAATGCCTGTAGCCATTAGACTAGATTGCATTAAGTATACGTTTATGGGAATTTTATAATTCAGCAACAGACAGCTGCTTTAACTACCCCCAAAAATGGGAAAAGTACAAATGGAAAAGTGACAGACGATCTCCACCTGCTTTTAAAGCTCACCTTCAAGACAACTATTTTTTATTGGTAACAGTGAAATATATATATCCCATTCATTTTCCAAAGGTCAGAAAGAGCCTGAACAAACTGGTAGAAAAGGCCGTTTCCATCCTGGGCTGCACTCTGGACGCAGTGGAGGAAGTGGCTGAGAGCAGGTTGCTGTCCAAGCTTACATCCATCATGGACACCATGATGGATGTAAGCTTGTTGAGGAGCTGGACATCCCCACTGATTCTATAATGCAACACAAGGGCAATAACTAATGCAATTACAATTTGATACCCTGTGCAATAACCTGTTTCTCTATATTTGACACCCAGTGCATTAACTATATATATAAATATAAATATCCATCTATATTAATACCCATGTAAACACTCTTTGCAATAACCCAGTATAATAATCCCGCTATTAAAAAAAAAGTATAAACTGCACCTTTTTCTTCCTTCTGCACCTCCTTCTTCTCCTTTGACTATTTGAGCTGACGTAATGAGTCAATTTCTCCACTGTGAGATCAATAAAGGCAATCAATCAATAAGAGACATCTGGCAATTTGCAAGTTGTGGGTTTGATTCCAGCTTTCTTGTAACAGACTGTCAATATGATCCCGGACAAGGCCGAACTCCAAATTGCAAACCGTTCTATGTATCATTAAGGTGATTGTGTGCATAAGTGCAACTGGGTGGATGTAGACCCAGAAAACAAAATCCCATCTCTGTCTACTTATCTAATAGAAGTAATAACATTTATCCAGCTACATAAATTGTTTGTTCCATTAAAATCTATTGTTTCTTAGGGAGAAAAAAGGAAAATCCTCCCAAAACATGCAGGTAATCATAAAGTCCAGCAATGTACATTTTTAATATAATAAACAGCTACACCTCTGATTTGATCGATCAATCTATTGTTGATTAATACATCCAAGATTTTTTTTTACCAGAATTTAATGTTTGGCTGTCTTATATTTAATTATCCTACCTTTTTATTTATTTAGATTTATTTTAATTGTTATAAATTCTGTAGGCCTATTTAGGTTTGCAGGGCGTAGATTCTTGCCTCCTGTCTTTATAACTCAATGTGAGTTTAACTAGAACACCTCTAGTTAATCTTTTTTTTTTAACTCATTGGTGAAATCTGCATTAGAAATTCATAACTTCAATATATCCTTTCGTGTTTCTAAACTTTAACTTTAAAAATTGTGAAACAGGAAATGCACCATTGGCACTTTCCTTTTACCCAAAATAAATTGCAGTAATATGAAGCTAATTATTAGAAAAGGTTGATTTTAAAGACCCAACAAATATAATTTAAAGGGTCTGATCTGTGCATTAAAAGTCAAGTTTTTCCTTTCCAATGACTGGCTGATCAGTTCGTGCATCCTCTGATGATTTTGTTGGGTTTTTTTCTTTGCATGCTTGTTGCATATTGAACACTTTTAAAGCAGAACAGCATAAAATATGTTGCGGAAATTAGTTTATCTTTACATATGATCATTGACTCATCACCCCAGTTCTATGGTCCTTACATTGGCTCCCTGTATTTCAGAGAATAGACTTTAAAATACTGTTAGTCTATAAATCCCTGAATGGCTTAAGCACCTAAATACATCACAGACTTGCTATCAGTGTATCAACCTTCCAGAACACTCAGGTCTTCTGGCTCCAGCCTGCTCTGCATACTGTACCTAGAACCAGAACTAAACATGGAGAAGCAGCATTTAGTTCCTATGCTCCACTTATCTGGAACCAACTTCCAGAAAACTGTAAAAGTGCGGAAAGCCTGAGTTCCTTTAAACCAAGACTAAAAACACATTTGTTTAGGATTGCCTTCGACTGTTCTAGTTAAACAGTTCAACTAAAACATCATTAGTTCAACTTTTTTTTTTATTTTCTTTAGTCCAACTGTTTTTAATGGTCTTTTTTGTTTATGCATTTTTTTTTTCCTTCTTGCTTTGATTCTGTTTTATTTTCCTATATTTTAATTATGTAAAGCACTTTGCATTGTCTTTGTACTGAATTGTGCTATACAAATAAATTTGCCTTGCCTTGCCTTGCCTTTAAAGAAAAAGAAGCAGCAGCCAGACGCTTGGTCTAATCTTTATATATATTTATATATATATATACATTATTATTCACCAGTTACAATACACATATTTATATACTACAGGAACACAGATAGTACAGGTACTCAACATGTGTTTTACAGTTTTTTATTTACTTAACCTGCATGTTGAATTAGAACCAATCGTAGGGTTTGTCTTCAAGCCTGGAGGACCAGAATTTCAGCGGGGGTCTGTCTCTGACCCCCGGTGAACTGATCGGCTTCTTTCCACAGCAAATAATGTACTGGTCCATATCCGAACAGTGCATAGGTCCGGGAAGTCCTACCATAGAGCTGACCAAGCTTACTTTGGAAAATAAACTTTCCTCCACCTTCATTTCTGTCTAAAGCTTCACATTCACTTTTTCCTTACATCATGGCAGCCATGACAGCCGCTCAGACTCAGAGTAGTTTGCGTTTCAGAAGAGATTAAAAAAAAAGTGAATGGGAAGCTGCATCTTTTAAATATGGCTGACGTTTAACTGCATCCTTCAGCAGAAGACAAACCCACAGAGAGCCTTTTATAATACGTCATTATTGCTTACAAAGAAAAGGAAAAAGCTGGTTGTGTACATAGACATGGTACAGATTGATGATGGGCCCTATAGTTGGACAGCACTAACAAAAGGAAGCAGAGCTGAATTTCTGCTTGACGTCACCATGAAGGGGGGGGCATCTGACTCTTTTCAGTGCAAGCAGAGCGAGGAGGATTTACCACGACGAATGATCCAAGAACACGTTTATTGCTTATACAGTGATGATCTGGGGGATTCTTAGCAACAATGTTGTATTGATTTGAATCAAATTTGCCAAAGTTTTAATAAAAAAAACTTGTGATTATGACTACGCCTGGAGTTTAGTTTTATTTAATGAGCAGAGAGACAGACTACACCTGCTGTCATCATGTTGAAAAGGAAACCTATACATCTCAGCTGTTTTGTGCAGGTTTGGATCTGCAGACAAAGCCTCTTCACTGCATATAACCATGTAATACTAACAATTCTTTCTTTTATTTTAATAAAAAAATGTTCCCACTTAAGCTTTGTCATTCCTCAAGGGAATCCTTAATATTCCCACATCAGAAGAGACACAGGTACAACTCAATAAATTAGAGTACCATTGAAACAATCATTGCTTTCAGTCATTTCAATAATAATCAAAGCCTTGAAATGTTACAGATACATCAAGCCATCAACGTTTCTTTTAATTTTGGAAGTTTATGGCCGACAGATCTGGAAAACCCAAAATGCAGCCTCTTAGAAAATGTTAAAATTGATGTTTTCTATGAATAAATTGATGTGGGCCAACTGAAACATGCTCCTGCTGCCCTGAGGGCTTGGTTAGAGCTCCTTCTGCTTTAAAATGATCAGCTGGTGGCTCTGCTAAGGTTTAATGGATGCTTTGATAATGACCTTTAATTCCACTGCATTGTTGGGTCTGGTGTCTCTCATCCTCCTCTTTGATGATACCCTCTAGAATCGTCTATGAGGTTCAGATCAGGTCTGTAGCTAACCAATCAATCGGTACCACTGTGGTCTTTGAACCAGTAAATGACTGAACTTCACACAAGAAACTCAAGACATTTATTCCTCTCTATTTTTTCAACGACAAAAAAAATTCAATGCTACAAGTTTTGGGATCTTATTCTACTCAACAAGGCAATCTGGGACCAGGAACTTTTTTTTTTATTTGAAATGGGAATATGGTCATTATCACTGAAGAGTTTCAATATTAATATGTGGATAAATAACAGTTTCATGTATCTCTGTATGACTATTTCTGTCTGAGTGAAAAAGCAGGATAATATTGTAGATAAGCTACGGCAGGCCTACTATGAGTCCAATACAAAACAAAACAGGAACTCCATCTCTTTCTCTGTGCAGCGC